TATGGCAATTGCCATACTGCCATACTACACTTGTGAAAGTAAAATCTGTTGGGCTCTTTTTGGCATCAAGACAATTATTCTTATTGCCACATTGCCAGACAGGACACTGTTAAAAAAAAAAAAAAAAAAACACTGGTTGTGATTGGGTTGGTACAATTCAACCAGTTGTACTGTATAGCAAGGTACAGTACGTTTCTGTATCGTGTTTTAAATCTGTGCTCCATGTGCCCCCCTTTTAACTTTGAGCACCTGCCCCTCCAATGGTCTCTGCACGTCTCTTATCAGCGGGTCCGGTCCAGTGCAGTTCCTGGTGTTCATTGAAATGGTCACGCTCCAGATCCTCGTCCTTTCTACACATTTGGCTCTGGGTTTGGTGCTCTTTGCTCACTTCACAGAGGGAAATGGTGTTACAGGTTAAAGGTTCCCACTGGTAATAAGTTTACCAGGTGCTCTTGGTTGCACACTCAGTAATATGCAAGGTAAGAATTGAAATAAGTCGATTATAGAATAACTTCGACATGGCAGGAAAAGGACGAACATCTTTAACATAAAGGCTGCAAACAAGACTTGAACCATTCTTTCTGTGAAGAACCGCTCCAGCATCATGATGCTAAACTGTTAGTTAAAGATATTTCTCTAACTTAACCAGTAGTTAAGAAGTATTTATTTACATTATGAGCAAAGTCATACAATTTCACTTTTCAAAGTAAAACTTAATCTAGGTTTAAACATTAATCTAGGTTTAAATATTAATCTAGATAATTATTGACATTTTGAGGTCAATGAGTGTCCCGTTTTGTGGCCAAGTGTTTCTCAATGTCCCTAAGTAACGGCTTAGATGTTAAAACTTTTTTACACTTTACCTCTTTAAATATCAGATATAAACAGGATCTCCAACGTTATTTCCATGATTTTCTTCTGGTTCCTGCAGCGAGAACAAGGCAGACAGTGGTGGTGGAGACGTGCTGTTATCTAGAGCTATCAAAGAGGTATGTGCCAAGTGGAGGGGGAAACGCTGTGCACAGCATAATTAAAGCATATCTTACAGCAATAGCAATAATATTAAGGATTATACATTTCAATAGATGATGTAAAACCATGGAACAGATTAGGTGTTTAATTAGAGAAACATACAAGCAAAAACTATATTATGGAAAACAACCTGTTCCTCCTAAAAAACAAAAGCACTATTGCTTCTACTAAATCTTTTTGGAGAGTTATTTAGACTTATTGTAAAAGTATCACTAAAATCCCAAAACATGTATGTTTATTTTTCAACCAAAAATATAGAATTGTAAATGACTACTGCATGCTTGATCTTAAAGAAATGTTTACTATTGTTGCAATAAATTTGATGCACGAAAAGAAATTTAAAATTTGTACATATAATAAAATACTGATCTGTCTTAAATCATTAGTTCATAGATTTGAAAAGAGATGCTAATATTAAGCAGAGGAGGATTTAAAATTATAAATGCATTTTTATCCTTTTGCCACTGTGATGTTGTTAACACATTTCAAACATTGTTATTAATAATTAATACGATTTGATAAATATGACAAATAAATGTAGTTTTATTTTCCTTTTAACTATCATTTAACTTCTCTTACTGTATATTATATTGAGAATACTTCATGACTCTTAAACTTTCCATTTTCATTTTCCTGAGTGTGTCAGCAAATACGATTCTTTGTTATTTTAGATTTACCATTACCTGCACTATGCCTTTCTCTACAATTACAATGATTATAGCATCTTGATGATTTTTGCTGATGTGTTTTGTTGACTTTCTTTTCTGTTGCCGATGATTGCCAATCACATGGGTGCAAATGGCAAATTCTTTTTAAACTTAAAAAAAAAATTTAAATCAGGTTACAACTTGCTTTGTTTTTGCATGAAAATTGCTCATTTAGTAATAAAATGTCACAGGGGATGGCATGGAGGACTGGATGACATCCCCCTTCTTAAAAAAAATCTTAAAATTCATCCCCCTTCTTAAATTACCAGTCCTCCATGCCATCCCCTGTGACATTTTATTACTAAATGTGTAAAATTTCTACTTTATATTAACAGAAATGCCCTTTCACCATTTGGTGGGCTGTTAGGCTTACGAGTAGTCTGAGCAAAATAAATCAAAGAAGTGTCCTACCATGGCTATAAAGCTAATCCCAGTGGGAAATGTGTCCTCTGCATTGGTCTCTAACTCTGTAGGGGCAGTGATAGCCATGCCAGTCCAGGTACTGACTGCAGTTCTACTGTAAGGTGCCTTGGTAAAGGTCAATGACTGACGTACCTGACATGTAACAACTATACCATGCATACTGCTTTAGGTTATTAGGCTATGTATGCCTCTGAAAAAAAAATCCAGCAACTAGACTACTGCTTACAGGCCCTTGTAGAAGGTGTCTTTAGCACAGAGGGACCGTTTTTTTTCTTAGCATTCAACTTTTTAGTGCATTTGTGGACATGAAGTGTAGAAGGAACTACTCACTTTTAACTTACAGTACTTTTCAATCCAAAGTTCAACCACATCATTGCCCACTATAGGTTGTGCAATGATGTTTGCATCTTTAAATTTCAAAATATTTTGTTTACTTTCTGTTTTTTTTTTTTTTATGTAGAGCATAATCATGTACTCTCCCTGGATTTTAAAGTTTGATTAATGTCATCAATTTTTATGTTTGATACAGAAAATATGTCATACCCAGTCAGACTGAGACTGCTGCCCAGTGCCAGATGTTTATTTGATGAGCCTGTTGTGTTGAAAATTGCTGGGCTCAGGTCCAAACAGGTGGTCACCATTAGAGCCTCAACTACTGATGAGAGAGGACTGGAGTTCACTTCCTCAGCCAACTACAGAGCAGATGGTTGCGGGGAGATTGATCTGAGCAGAGACCCCTCGGTTGGTGGAAGTTACCTTGGAGTGGAACCTATGGGTTTGTTTTGGTCAATGAAATCACAAATCTTGCACAAAGATTTTCGTAAGACAAGAGCAGTGGATCCTATCAAGGTGAATTTTTCAATTCACGAAGAGAAAGGCAAGATGTTAGCAGAAGTGACAAACGAAAGGTTTCTAATGGGAGATGGGGTCAGCCGACTTCCTGTGAAAGAAGGGAACATTGATGGAGTCCTGTTCACCCCTCCAGGTTGGTACGAACGAGTGTATATATACCACACTTTATATTTACTGGTTGTTCAAAGCTAAGTTGAAAACCAGCTATTGAGCAAAGAAAAGGAATCAAACTGATTGATAATTTATCCATAAGATTCTGTGATGTTCTTGACATGGATTTTAATTTCAGAAAATTTTCCTGATATCAGATCTTTAAAAAATATATATATATTTACATATTTTAGAAGATTAGGTGGATTTTCTTTTTTTGTGTAAGATGCATTTTGCTTTTTTCAGGAAAAGGTCCATTCCCAGCTGTGTTAGATCTGTATGCCTATAGGTCTGAGAAAAGAGCCTGTCTACTGGCCAACAAAGGCTTTGTTACTCTTTCAGTACCTGTGAATATAGACAGTCAAAAACCAATTCACCTGGACCATTTTGAAGATGCAGTGGATTTCTTACAACGACTGCCTAAGGTATAAAGTGTTTTTTCTATGTTCTACACTCAAGGAAAAACTTGACAATGATCCCATGTGTTATTCTGTTCACTTAAGATTTTAAACCTGAAAAGTTGGCTAAAATATTGCAGAAAAGAACACATCATGTCCAAGAACAAGATGAAACAAAGTTACTGATATCTATCAGTTTAGAGAGGGTTGCAAAGTCAATTCTAACGTTTCTGACTCCAGTGGGCCACCACTCACAAGAAAGACGCAAGAAAGCACCAGAAAAACAGAATGAACATTGGTTTGATTGATTGATTGATTGATTGACTTTATTGATCTTACAGTTAAGACATGTACTTGTTACATCAGCTCAAATACCCTTCTGCTGAACTACCTGTTTTTACATGCGTATTTACATAGATGGATATTTATATATATGGTTATTGCACTGGGTGTCAAATATAGAGAAACGGTTATTGCACAGAGTATCAAATGGTAAAATGCACATTATACATTGAACATTATATGACTATGAAGTTATGACTGTGATCTTTGTTGTTTTGTTCAACAGGTGGACGGTAAAGGAGTTGGCATTCTATCAAAATCAAAGGGAGGAGAAGTTGCTCTTTCCCTTTCTGCTTTTGTGAGAGGTGTGAAGGCTGTGGTGTGGATCAATGGTTGCTCAGCCAACACAGGTCTACCACTTTACTATAAGAAAAAACAAATTCTTCCTGCTTTAATGTTTGATCATAAGAAAACATTTTCCACTAACTCTGGTGCTGTCATTTCCAAGTACGCGATGCATGACCCTCTGAAAGCGGAGAACAGGGACTGCCTTGTCCCAATTGAACAAGCTGGTGGAAATTTCCTCTTTGTGGCTTCAGGGGAGCACCTCATCTCGGACAGGAAGGCCTATATGGATAACATGGTGGAGAGACTGAGGCATCATGGGAAGGACAACTTTGAGACTCTGAGTTATCCTCAAGCCGGACACTATTTAGAACCCCCTTATGGACCTTTCTGCCGATCCAGCCTCAATGTAATTCTTGGTGGGCCAGCTCTTTGGGGGGGCAAGCCCAGGTCCCATGCTGCAGCTGAAGTCCACCTGTGGAGAGAGATCCAGAAATTCTTTAGGAGTCATCTTACTTGTGAAACTGCTCCGATCAAACCGGAATGACATTTACTGTACAGATTTGATCAAAGGCTAGATAAGGTAGTGGATTGACAGAGAAAACTGGCCATATATATATATATATATATATATATATATATATATATATATTAGTGACTGTGAATCATAAATAACAACATGCCTGCAAATTCTTAGTCCTTTGGGTCATAGCAACCGCAAAACAAACTTTAATTGGAGGCAATTTTTCAGTTCTGTAAACTTGCATTAGAGAACCCTGTAACTGGAACGCTGATGCTTTTAAAACCTGGTGGTCCATCATCCTAGGATTTCATGTCATATGTAAATCAATGACCCATCTATTGTTTCCCAGGTTGTTGGACTGTTTTTTTCTATGAGTTTTATGTTTGGCAATTTGATAGGTGATGAAACTGCTTCTGTAACCCCCCAGGAACGAGCTCCAGGACCGACTGATAGATTCTTTGAAGCTAAAACAGCAATCCACCGCCTTGTTTAGAGATGGATCTTCTCTTTTAATAAAGATGACTTCCTTTCAAATACCCAAATCCTTCTGTCCAAAATCTAAACATTTTGATCTTCAAAGGTTTGCTCTTCAGGTGGAAGTTTACAGCTGAATCTTGCCCAGAGCTACTGGCACTCCCGTTTAGCCATACAAATGGATGATAAGCCTTGATGTGCTTAAAAACATCAGCACTCTAACTACATATTGCCCTAGAGCGAGCCAACAGAACTGACAAAGACTTATCCAAGAGTAGGTTTGCATAAGGACCATAGGTACATGTCCCTACAAAATTCTGAACTGATCTACTTGTCCCTACCAATAGTTCTATGTGAATAACATAATTATAATTTACAATACAGCATTGTTGCAGCAGTCGCTTATTGCCCTTTTGTAGATCCTCAGCCGCTCCGTTTGACTGCCTGCCTGGTCTTTCCTGTCCCTTTAACTTACTGTTTAACTCCACTCTCATTGGTTGTTCTGCCTCAAGTTCCACCTTCTTTCTTCTTGATTGGCTGTTTTCTAGTCCGTATGCGTGTGCATGCGTCTGCTTGAAGCGTAAAATGGTCAATGTACTCCTGCTAGTTACTGCAATTGATATTAGGCTATGAAACTAGTCCTAATTAAAATAACTAAATATTATCTACATAAAAACAGGCATAAGCTGCTGATTGCAGTTCTGTAAGAAGCAGGAGAGTGTTTTGATTTGTGGAACTTGAGAAATGTAAGTAACCAACGTTAGCATCTCAAAATAACCTTTAATTCTGAAGTATAATACATTTTTATTAACAAAACCTTTTTTTCTTTTATAAAACTAAATATTCTGAGTCAGNAAAGCATTTGTAATTGCAATAAGTTGTTGGGAGGAATGGAGAATTACCTGGCAGAATTGAAGGGGTGCAAAAACATTTGGCCAGCACTGTAATTGGTTAACATTCAAGTGCAAAAAGAAAAAGAAAAAAAAATAAAAAAAACTTGAAATAAAAGAACTCCAAACCAAAAAGGAAGAAAAATTTAAGCCGAAACAAAAAAAAAAAAAACCAAAAAAAACCCAGCTGGTTAACAATGAGATCATTTTAGAAATAGGCAGCAAACACATTTCCTTGTAATATAGTAACTTTCTCTGAGGTTAATTTGATCATTCTGTTGTTTTCTTTGTCTTTTGCAGGCGAGCAGTAAAGGCGTTGGAGTAATATCTCGATCGAAGGGGGGCGACATTGCTCTCTCACTCGCTGCTTTTGTGCAAGGGGTTGAAGCTGTGGTGTGGATTAACGGCTGCAGCGCCAACGTCGGCATTCCCCTCTATTATAAGAACCGTCAGATCCTCTCGCCACTGATGTTCAACTTCAGCAAGGTGATTCCCACCGAGTCGGGCGCTAACATTATTAAGTACGCTGTTGAAGACCCTCTGGCTGAGGAGAACAAGGGCAGCGTCGTTCCCATTGAACGAGCCAATGGACATTTCCTCTTTGTGGCTTCTGAGGACGACCTGAACTGGGACAGCAAGGGGTACCTGGACGACATGGTGGAGAGACTGAAGCGCCATGGGAAGAAGAACTTTGAGAGCATTACTTACCCTGCAGCCG